CCCACCCGCCCTCCCTCCCTGCCTTAAATGACATGAGTCCCTTTTGCAGACACTTTGACAATAAGGGCTCTGCCTCAAAGAGCTTTCACACCCTGAAAAACTATATGGGGATGGGAGAAGAGGGAGAGAAACAGCAGAGTGTGTGGTATAGTTGAATGGGAAGAGAATGCGAAAAAGGCAATTAGCCATGCAGTGTGAGTGGAGTGAAAGCAAAACAAGTAACTTTAATAATGTATTACATATCCCTCATTGTGCTTATTGCTTTCCACCGTTCTTTAGTTAAACATTTCCCTCTCTGTATTTACCTAGAGAAAATGGCTTCAACTAGTTATTTTCAGCTCCCTTAAACAGCCTGACTCTAGACCTTTTATGATTTATATTATAGTTGTGCCCCATTGTGCTAGGTGCTATATAAACATATAAGTGTTAGTCCCTGACCCAGCTTCCTTATGACCCAACTACCTGCTGCCCCCATGGATGAGAGCAGGGGAGGGCAATAGCAGGTGGGAAAGCAAAGGGCATTCAGGCCTTCACTGTCTTAGTGCTTTTTTTTGTTTCCCTCCTTCAATTGAACTGGAAAACATTTACTTGTCCAGCCCGAGTCTGAAGCTCTGTTTCTCTTGTGGTAAGTAATGCCACCACTCCCATCAAAGGCTGAATATTGATGCCATCAACTCCTACAAGAGACATGCAGAAGTTGAAGTTCAGATCTCAGCAGGCATTGCTGAATTTCCCTTATTTACTGGTTCCTTTCAAGCGCTGTGTTCCTTCAGATTGTGTTACTGGCTTGGGATCATAAACAGATGGTGCAGTCATTTATACAGCATACTTATTTAAAACCTCCCTCTCTCTCCAATTCAGTTCCTCTTTAAGAAAACGAAAAAGGCAGCCAAAAAAGCTGGGATGTGGTTGCTGCATATTTTTTGTTCGGGGCTTCTGAATCCTTTGCAGTAAGGGAGACAGAAGCCCCAAACAATGCAAACTTGTAATCAGCAAAGTAACCGATGTGGCCTGGCATCCTGCCCTCTGTGTAGGAGATTCTGTGGAAGAGGCACCTTGTGAGCAATAGAAGCTCGGGAAGTGTGTTACAGTGGAGAAGAAATTCACTCATTCATGGCTGCTGGACCTGTATTTACCAGCCAGGGGACACTTATGTAAAAGTGGGAGAGGCACTTTTTAAATTTATTTTTTTATCAAGAGCTTAATATAACTTGGTTTTGAAAATTTGGTTTGGTATAAAACTTTGCTGGTGAATTTGAAACTCAGAAGCAACGTGTGTGTGTGTGGTTTTTTTTTTTTTTTTTTTTAAATCTCCTTTTCATTAGAAACCTTGAGTGCCTGGAGGAAAGCAAAGCAAATAAAGACCCCATATAACTTCACATTATTCCAGGTTTTGAGCAACATTGCTGTTTAAGTCTGAAAAAATCAGAGTAAAGGTTCTTTTCTCAAAATAATAAGGTTTTGTGGTCTATTTATGCTTCTGCTATCTAACTTTAGTTCTTGATTTACTTTGGAGTAGGGAGGTTGCAGGGGACAAAGCCAGCCTAGCCCTTTTCTAGGGTATCTGGGAGTCATTGCATTTCTAAATATAGCCACCAAGTGGCAGCATGAAACCAACAGGTAGTGCCCAGGGGCCTTTCTGACAGCATACCCTCTAGTAAGCTTCAGAGGGGTAGCCAAGTTAGTCTTTCCAGTGCTACTAGACTATTTGTTGTTTAAGTGTTTCCTCTAGTAAGGAAATGCTCTTAGGACATGTAGAAATAACCCGATTTTTGAAGGGGGGGGGGAGGAGGAGCCATAGGAATGACACAAGTATTTTCAGTAAATAATTAAAAGAATCTGATGCCTGCAGCTCCTACAGATTTTTCTGCTATTTCCTAAGGATGTGAGCAGCAATGCTAATGGCTCAAATTCAGCTCTGGTGTAACTCTTGGCATTGGTGAAGTTGTCCACTTACACCAGAGCTCAATTCTGCTTGATGTTTCTGCAGCTGTCCATTCATCTAGAAGCATATATCTTTATAAATATGTGACACTGCCTAGGTCTTATAAATTAGCCCATCATAAGACGGGATTTTCAGGTCTCTCCTCCATGTCGATCTTTTCTCCCGAGCCTCCAGTCTCTCACTTCGTGTCTCTTTCTCTCTCTCTCTCTCCCTCCTCCTACTGCCTACCCCTCTCTCTCTCAGCTCTCTTCCGCCTTCTCCCTATCTCTCTGTCTCTCTTTCTCTTCTCCCCCTCCTGCCTCTCACTCTCTCTCCGCTCTCCTCTGTCTCCGTCAGGGATGCACGCTTGTCCAGGCCCCGCCCCCTGGCCGTGTACGTCACCGCCCCGTCCCCCTTCGCCTTCCGCTGTGGCGCTCGGCTGACTTCTGCGCTGCTCAGCGAGGCTTTTGCAGGGGAGCAAGCAGACCAAGTGTCCGTTTGGGCTCCCCCGCAGTGGCCCGGCTGGGCGGCGCAGAAGTCAGCTGAGCGCCATGGCAGGAGGCGAAGGGAGATGTGAAGGGGGGGGGGCGATGACATACACGCCAAATGGCCACTTGTGCTGCTTGTTCCCCTGCGGCGGCCCG